AAAAGCTATTTATTATAATTATAATTCATAAGTTCATAAAGTCAATCATAGTAGAATACATTTAAATCCTATGTACATAGAATATTTACATATATACACACCAAATCCTCCCTATGTTAAATTTCATGAGTTATGTATCTATTTACAATGGGTAATGATCCAAAAAATGAATGAAGAAGATGATCCCAAAAAAATTCAAAAAAATTGTAATAATGAAAAATAGTAAAAAATAAAAAATAGAAAAATTTAAAAGAAAAGAGACAAAAGAAAAAAAGAAGAAAAATGTGAAAAAAAATTATTTATCATACAGTCCTGTTGTCTAATAGTCCAAAATATAGTGCACTATATGCTTCATAAGTCTATGGATAGATCTCACCAATGTAGAAGATAGCTTTAAGGTATGTTCAGTAGGAGGATGATGTAGTCTGTAGATGGTGTATAATGGATGAGGGTGAAAATGCTTGTAGTTCGGTGGGAAGACAATCAATCATTTAGCAGAATCTGGTCAGTATGACAGGTCATTCAATGATCCATGGAAGTAGGCAATCCTAGAAACGGGCTGAAATGGGCTGCGCGCTCGGGACGTTCCTGTCCCTTCGATGGCCCCTGTTCCTCTCCGCGGAGAATTATAATTATAATAAATAGCTTTTTCAATTAAATATAAGATTAGACTTTACTGGAATTGTTTTGAGTGCGGTATTCATATTTGTTTTTGATTTAGATTAGGAGGTTGTTGTGGGGTTAAACCTCGAATACCTGCACCTTGCATAATTGAGTGCCAGCACATATTGTGTTTTGTATGTTTATAAATGGGTTAATCCAGCCTCTAAATCCTCTAGTTGCTGTCTCATTGACAGCCGCTAGAGGTGTTTGCGTGCTTCTCACTGTGAAAATCACAGTGAGAACACGCCAGCGTCCATAGGAAAGCATCGTAAATGCTTTCCTATGAGACCAGCTGAATGCGCGCACAGCTCCTGCCGCGCATGCGCATTCAGCCGAATGGGAGGATTGGAGAGGAGGAGGAGAGCTCCCCGCCCGGCGCTGGAAAAAAGGTAAGATTTAACCCTTTCCTCTCCCCAGAGCTGGGCGGGAGGGGGACCCTGAGGGTGGGGGCACCCTCAGAGCACTATAGTGCCAGGAAAACGAGTATGTTTTCCTGGCACTATAGTGGTCCTTTAACTCTAGCATGCAAATCTAGTCAATGCTCCTCACGATCATAATACAAAAGCCATACATAAACTGTCTCCAAAAGTGAATAATTGTACAAATATCCCATATATATAGATTCGCAGAGCACACACAAAGTAACAAAGGTTCATAAAGTACAAAAAGTTCAGAGAATATTTGAAGTCCAAGATTGTCGATGCTAACTTCGGTCAATCATTGCTTTGGGTACAGACGGTTAGGGCACATTGTTTTGGTGTGTGGCCTGTAACAAATTGAGCAGATGTGCAGCAATCTGCACAAGCTAAACCCGCAACTGCCTGAATTTAAATTGTTTCAGATCTGCACTTTCCCTAGGTATATAATGGGCTTGCCCAATTTTACTTTGAGACCTCTGTGTTCTGCAGTGGACGAATCGAAGGGTGCACGACTAGTGGTGAGTAGACTCGGATCTACTGGACACAAGTTGGTGGAATGGGAGATGGAGGTGCATATGGCACAAGAGGGGGGTTTGAGCCGGTGAAGTGGCTACAGAATAGTTTGATATTGAGTCTACTCAAGTCTGTGTAAATGTTGAATTGTGCGAGGGACGCTGCCACTTTGACCGAAATAGATTTGTGATAATCAACGAATGCGAAACACCTGTACTTGTGTCTTAGGTCCACCAACTTGTGTAAGTACAGACCCAATGCTTTTCTACGACACGGTGAAGTGGAGCAAATTACATAACGATACAGTCTGAAAATGAGGACAAATTCAGAGATGGTGAGTTTTCAATTAAGTCCAGTGTCTCTGGCCTTAAGTACGACCGACAAATCTCCATAGCAATATGATTTGTTCTCAACAACATCCTGGGAAGCAATTAGTAATACAATCAAATTCATGTCCTTGCCCTCCAGAATGTCCTTGCAATTGGTCGGGGGCAAGCACATTGGGGGTACAGGGCCATAGCGTTACCGTGTGAAGGAGAGGGGGTGGGAAGTTCTGTGGCTAGGTTGGGTGTCGGTGGCTGTGGATTCTCCAGTTACTCCAGTTTAACGCGAACAGTATTAAAGCGAGCAGAGTTATCATCATGTTCTTGACTTCAGTGAAGTTGTCTGTATTGGTGGGTAGTATGTTAGTGCATGGCTGTGGTGTGCCCCTTTGCTGTACGTGTGTTTTACATGTTTGGGCAGACTCACTGTTTACTGGATTCTGCACCTGGAAAGCGACAATCCGACCCAGAAGTAGTCGTGAAATAATGGGTCAGCTGAGTCTGACAGAGGTGGTCTTGGAGGAGCGGCAGGGGAACATGCCGTACCCCGGTGGATGCGGACTCCTGAGCTTGTAGCTGGATACCGATTGCCGGAGGGGCCATGGAGTGGCTGCGGAATTCTGAAGCGAGTGGCTGACCCCGGTAGTAGCGGTAAGTAATAGTAATTGCTGGCTTGGTGTGACAGGAGTCAGTCAGCATGGGATCGAGGTTACAGGTGAGTTCTTGAACCGGAAGTACTATGGTTCTTAATAAATCTGGTGGCATCAGCCCAGTGGAGTAGGGGGCCTGGGTTTTAATAGCCGGGTAGCCCCTCCCACAACTTCAGGCTCCATCTTTCTATATACACTTTTTATGCTTTTAGTTGCTTTTATTTATTTTTAATCTTCTGATCCTGGCACTAAAAAACACACCAAACAATGAAACTTTGGATATTACTCCTTGGAGAATCTACTTAATATTATATCCCTGGTGGTGATTATACCACCAAAGTGCAACCATCCGAGCAGGATCTACTGATCCAAGACATGTAAGTAGAATATCTTACTTTTGCAACCATCATTATATTTATTACAGTGAGCACAATTGTTTGCCGTTTTTTCTTTTATATATCAAACCACACTTTGAAGGACCAGCCCCCAGATATACAGATCCATCAGTGGGGATTGTACTGCTGCATGCTGCTAAACTCAGAGCTTGTCTTCTAGCTCTCTCAAATGTGAGTGTTATACCATATACATTATTGTTGTATGTCCTGCACCTAGTTCCATACACTCTGCACCATCACTGGTTATCTTCTACTTTTATGCCATAAACTCCCAACATTTGAAGTCTGGATGGACTTCAGACTCCAGCAATTGTGGACTAACTGGACTTTATATTGGCGCAACCTATATTTTGTAGGACTTAGTGGCAATAGGCACTGAGGTTTCAGTGAGCACAGTAAGGTGCATACTAAAAGCAGACGTTTTCCATGCTAGAACTGCAAGACATACACCACTACTGACACAAAAGCGCAAGATAAGTTGGCTCACAATACTTAAATTCATATAAATAAACCACAGACGTTTTGTTATGTTCTGTGGAGCGATGAAACAAAACTGGAACTTTTTGGCCTGATGGATCAGCGTTAGAAGCTGTAGAAAATTGAAGCATAAGCTCAAAAGAACACTCTGTCTACAGTTAAGCATAGTGGTAGCTTGGTGAGGCTCTGGGCTTCTTTGCATCCCCTAGAACTGGAAACCTGCAGTGTGTGGAAGCAAGGATGGATTCATTGAAGTATCAGGAAATCCTAGGAGAAAGTATTGTACCACACTCGCATTTAAATATACCTCTTTAAAACTGATATCTAATTGTTTTCCATATCATTTGAAGGGTAATTCTATAAAAGTATTTGAAAAGCATGTAAAAAGGACATTAAGAAAATGAAAACATTATCAAAGTTTTAACACAATTTAACATATGGAGAAAGATAAGCACTGGAAGATCTTAAAATAGATGAAAAGGCTTTACAAAAACCAGCGGATAATGGAGGGTGGGGTATTGATAATAGACAAAGAATGCTATATTAAAGACATTTTTAGACAGCTAGCAGATACCAATACTTATAAACAGTTGAAGGAGAATCCAGAGAATAATATAAAGACAAGATATGTACAGCTGTTAGATAAGGGATATAAAAAAGGAATTTTAATGAAAAATGAATACAGATTCTTTTTTAATAGTCAAAGTTTCATTTTTTTTTAAAATTCTTAAAAGACACTGGCACATTTTAGAACTTAAAGATTTTATTGGGCACAGACCTAAAATTATTTATAGAGGTGCTATAAGTAACCAGCACACTTGAAAAATCAAATCATGTATACCATGCAATAGTCATACTTTTATTATCTCCTCACCTGCCTGTGTATTTATAGTATATAGGCAGGACATTCTGGTTAACTGGCACCTGTCAAGGGGTGGGATATATTAGGAAGCAAGTGAACAGACCAAGGCTCATTGATGCACATGGGGAGCGAAGACTAACTTGTCTGGTCCGATCACACAGTAGAGTTACTGTAGTTCAAATTGCTGAAAAATGTAAGGTGGGCCATGATAGATAGGTGTCAGAACACACAGGGCATCGTAATTTGCTGTGTATGGGGCTACATAGGTGCAGACCAGTGAAAGTGCTCACGATGACCCCTATCCACCACTGAAAGTACCTTTAATAAAATCTGAGCGTCAGAAATGGATCATGGAGCAAATGAAGATGGTTGCCTTGTTCAGGAATGGTTTGAGGAACATGACAAAGAGTTCAAGGTGTTGCCTTGACCTCTAAGTTCCCCAGATCTCAATCCAACTAATAATCTGTGGGATGTGCTAGAACAACAAATTGGATCTATGGAGGCCCTACCTTGAAAATTGCAGGACTTGAGGATCTACTGTAATGTAGATGGTGCCAGATACCACAGGACACATTCAGCGTTCTTATATAGCCCATGCCTCAGTGCATCAGAGCTGTTTTGGCAGTACAAGCAGGACCTTTTTTTGTGGCTGTTAAGATTAGAGCTCAATTTAAATATAAATATGTGCACTAGCTCAATGTTCTCCAACCCAGTCCTCATGGACCACCAACAGTCCAGGTTTTGGCAGTATCTCCATTGGAATTAAACAGGGAAATACATAAATCCTGGATTGTTGGTGGTCCATGAGGACTGGGATGGAGAACACTGCACTAGCTCAAACACTTAAATAAAGACAGTAATAATATAAAGTGTACACTTTACACTATTAATGTCTAAACACACACATTTCATTCTTATTACAATATAGAGTGACCAACCTTAAGCTCTTGTATGTATTTTTGATCTTTATCTTGAAAAGAACTACCCAGAAACACTCCCAGAGCCACCTGCTCACATATCCTGTGCATATCCAATAACATGTCTTGTGTTTCTGTTGGAAAACTTTCTTCATTTGACTTCATCATAGCTCTATAAGTGCTTACAACATCCTTCAGAGCTTCATCATTCTCCATTTTAGCAAGAACAACAACAGCACTCTCCATGCATGGTATAGACCCGCTATGTATTGCTTCCACGTATGTTTTGGCAAGGTTTCCAAGCACTGAGACAAAGAATGAGAAGTAGGAATTAATTCTCACATGAATTTTGTTAAAACAGCTGTAACCTAATGCAAGTAATATATCTATTTCTTTCTAGTTTGACCAATATAGCTGAAAAGATTGAGGATTATTTGAACCAGCATGAGCAATAACTCACTTTCTTTCACAGGGATATTTACTTAATAATTTGATTTTTCTATCACTTTTAAAACTTTTTTTCTAATCCAACATGAACAGTGTCCACTTGTAGTAAGGTTTCAAGTCAGTCCAACACATTTATGCTGCCTGGACTGAAGCCCAAATGGAGTGCTCTGCCAATTCACGGGCCAGTAAGAATATCAGAAGATCTTCCTTTTCTAGAAATCACCACTATCATTCAAAGGAGTATGTGATCTGTACCTGCCATTGGCACAGATTACATTTAGAGATTTGCATCATTTCGAACTGCAATTAGTCTAAATTTGGGAAGATCGAGTGATTGGTCAAGTTCCCGAACTCCAAGCTGAAATGTAGTGTCATGAACCAAATGACTAGCATGAAGGTAGAGCATGTTCATTTTGAATCGTAATTCATAACTACACCCGTGGTACCAAAAAAAGAGAGCACTGGTAGGAAAAAAGATGATTGATGGCTAGCGTACTGTCACTAAATATTCACAGATCAAGTGAGAAGTAAACAATAGAAATGAAAAACGGAGGAGCAGTAATAAGATCTCTGTATATTTAATAAATATATAATTACCAGGAATATGTATGATTTTATTAAATATGTAAAGGGACACTATAGTCGCCAAAACAACTTTAGCTTAATGAATTAATTTTATTGTTTAGATCATGCCTTTGAAGTTTCACTGCTTAATTTTCTGCCATTTAGGACTTAAATCACTTTTGTTTCTGTTTATGAAGCCCTATCCACAGCTCTCTGGCCATGACTGACATAGCCTGCATGAAAAAAATGGTTTCACTTTCAATCAGATGTGACTTCTTTTAAAAGTCTTTTATCTCCTGCTCTGCAAATTGAACATTAATTACACACAGGAGACTTCTGCAGGGTCTAGCAAGCTACTAACAGAACAGGAGATACGAAATTCTAAATGAAAGAATTTGCAACAAAGGTAGTGTAAACATTAGATGACTCTTTACAGGAAGTGTTGAGGAAGGCTGTGTAAGTCACATGCAGGGAGGTGTGGCTAGGGCTGCATAAACAAAGTTATTTAATTCGTAAATGGCAGAGAATTGAGCAGTGAGACTGCAGGGGCATGATCTATAGACCAACACTGCTTTATTAAGCTAAAGTTGCTTTGGTGACTATAATGTCCCTTTTAACCCCTTAAGGACATGATTCCTTTTTATTCCAGAAGTTTGGTCCTTAAGGGGTAAAAGTCTCTTTAGCCAAGTTCCTATTTAAACATAATTCTCTAAAACTTCAGGGCTTTAGTTCAACTCCCTGTAGCGTCTGTGTTGCCTCAGCATTACTTGTGGTTTCCTGATCTCAATTGTGTTTCGTCTCATACCTTAACCCAAACAGGACAAATTATCTGTAATCAATTGGGTTCCCTCAGAGACAACTCCTTCTGCTTCATCCTTACAAGGGATGAACTCAAAGTAACAACATTAAGATTCTGAAAAAGGGACTAAGCTTACATCCAGTAAATAGTCTTATTGATTCATTATTTGGGGGGGGGGAGGGAGAGGGGAGGGGAATTCTTTACTAACCTATTTTGGATTGCTAACTCCATAAACATCATCTGTATTACTCTTCATTTTTATTGGGAAAGATTCCATACAAAGGTTAATTATTATTTTTTTCTATGGGCCTATTGATTTGAGACATCCTTTCTTCATATTGGAGTCAATTATAGGAGAGGGAAGAATTAACACTTTTATGACAATAATATAAATATTGTTTTTTCTTCATTCAATGCACAATGAAGCACATATACTGGAGAGTTTTTTTTGTTTTTTTTACTGTTTTTAATACTAGTTAAATTTCATCACAAGGTGTTTTCAGATAAGGAGCTTTCTTAAAGTTTCCCTTGAAACTTCAATGTAAATAACAATTTTGGATTAGTTTTGCAGTGATGCCAAAACAAATGCCATCAGGTTCTAATGAATCAAGACAATTTAAAAGCTACTTTCCACAGTCACTTACATCTTCCATTAATCTCTCGTCCCCCTGCGAGGGTTTTAACTCTGCCTTCCGTGAGCGTATAATTGCAGAACCTACGTGTCTGTTCTACAAACACTTTGTTCAGATCAAGATCTTGCAAATCTTCCAGATGTTGAAGGTTCTCTGTAGAAGTTGGACGATCAAACACAAAGCATTTATGTGAGTGAAAGTACTCGTTAATGCACTCACGAGGAAGATTGTATTGTCTAACATCTTCTGACAACCCTAAAAAAAAAAAAAAGAAACAAACACTTCATAAGTTGTGACACTCCAATACATCGAATCTCTAGTCTTTTGAAGCTTTATAATACCTTAATTAATATATTACAGGTAAATTGCAAAACCTTAATAATTATGGTTTTGGTTCTGACATAAGGTAGTTGTAAAGAGTAATGGAACCAGGGCTGGCAGTGTTAATGCACTGGTTTTGTTTGATTGGTAAAACATGCCCATGCATAATTACATTCTCCTGATATGCCTGGACCCACTGAAGGTTGGTTAGATCCTTTAACCTTTGTTTGATCATGATGCAGAACATTTCCCAGCCAGACTTCTCATTTTCCCACCAAGGCAGGGTTATATGTGCTAGATCAGGCTTGCCAAAAGGGTACATCAGTTGTGGTTATAGAAAAGTATTTATTTATTTTTGTATTAGTATACTAAAGTACAAGTATACTGTTTAATTAGTATACTTTAGTGTAAAGTGCTCGTAAAACAACCAGACGTTTACTTTTGGCCAGACCTGTGCTAAATTGTTCAATGACACTCTGGTATGCCCAGTGGACACATTGAATGTGGTTTGACCATGAACAGAATCTCAGTTTGTCCTCTACAAAAACAATGTTGCCACCTGGTTTTAACATCAGACTGTTCTGTAGATATTCATCCTCCGTTATTTTCTGTCCATTCCGCTCTAGTTGAAGACAGAAATCCCTTACACACCATGTAAAGGATGGAAAAACTCTTCTGTAATCGTCAGACTCTATCTCATCTCTCCTCTCTGATGAGTTCAGTCGAATCCGTTTTGTTAACTCTGTCACATAACTGAGATATGTTAAGGGCAAAGCAAAACACAAAACACATGCAATATTTCTTTACTGAGATGGCATAGTGTTGCCCAGTTAGAAGCTTTTTTTTCACAAATTAGTTATTTTCTTGAACTCTTTCCTTGGTGCTGTAAAGGATACTGTAGCTGTTCCATAGCTTGCTGGTTTATAGTGCCCACACTATTAAACACAAAGTTACTGCTCAAGAGAACAGCCAGACAGAAGATCCAGGCATCATTTTCACTGTCTCCCTGAATGAATAGAGAAGGAATATTGGAATACAAGTAGTTACTATATACTGATAGAAATCAGATTAAATCACATCTAGATTAAAGCATAGTTTGACCATGAGAATGCTCAATTTATATTTTTACATTTGACAAGAGATTAGAGAGCTTTAGGTAAAACCAGAAAGATTCCATGGAGATTATTAGATGTAAATTAATGGGTGTATTAGCCAAACACTGAGAGCTTGTTAGAATGTATCTGCAAGGTTACCTTTTCCACATCTCCCAATCCCTCGGTATCCAACAGAACCAAAGTATGTCCGTGTTTCGTAGGATGAGGAATGCACCACATCCAGATCCCCTTAGTCTTAGACTGGATGGAGGCACCTAGTTGAAACCCTGATGAGGGAATAATTATTTAAAAATGCACAATATATTAACAATAATAACTAATTAAATACATAAATAATTCCAAACTCAAACTAATAAAAAAAATTATACTATATATATATATTGGAGGATAATTCCTACCAATGTCAGCTGTAAAGGCAGAGAAGCCATCTTCCAGAGATTAATTTAATTTACAAACCAATATAAAAATTAAAAAAAATAAACAGAGTTGCTGTGGGGAATCCCAAACATAACAGAAGACTCATAAAAACCAAGAAAGAAGGGGTGCGCCTTTTATGTTATATGTATTACAAAGAGTACACACTATAAAATTATGATATGAGGGAAAATAAAAGATAAATAATATAATTTATAAAAATATAAAATATATATAATATAAGGAAATATAAGGCATCCCCCCTTCACCAAACCCCCCCCCCCAAAAAAAAAAACAACTACATTTTTAAAATGTGTTATATTTTTTACATTTTTAAAAAAAATGTATTGAACAAATTTGTAAACTTTTTAAAACCCCTGCCCCCTGTACAAAATCCCTGCACCCCCTCACACACAGTTACAGGCAGACAGTCACACACAATTACAAGCAGACAGTCACGCATATAGACACAGGCAGGCATACACACAGTTACAGGTAGAGAGTTACATACACACACAGTCACGCACACTGTTACAGGCAGACAGTCACATATACAGTCACACACACGGTCACAGGCAGACAGTCATAGACATAGTTACAGCCACAAAACACACACA